TCTAGCAGTCACAAAGGCATCTTTCCAATCGGTTGAAATTTTTGGATGTAACCAAATTTTGCACGGGTTTAGGCTGGTACACAACTGTAAGCGTTCCAGCAGACGCGAGAAATACTATGTTACAGTCCAATGAATGTCAATGTCCATTTCAAGAGACTAGATGGATAAGCAGTGTCCAATCTGTCGGAAAAGCGTAAGTATACCTACAGACAAATGGATTCTCTAGTAAGTGTGTGTCAACGATTCTGATGGAGGTTGATGCCGCTATAAGTACATAATATACAAAATGATAAAGGTACAGTTGACATAACTTAAGAAACATTGACATTTTTGTGGCAAAATCGTACTTAGATATCCGGGATATTAGGATCCTACATATGTATACACAGTGTTTTTCTTAACGTGCTATTCTGCTCAACTTTAGGGTAAAATATTGAGAAAGAAATGTAAATCCGAATCTTATTTCGTTTCCTTCATTCAAAAAAGCAAAACCTGTTCCAAATCTGATCATTCTGGCTAAAAATAATAAGAAATTTAAGTGTCCTGCTGCTGTCACGTGAATTTATTTCTCCAGTTTATCGGCCGATATGCTTAAGTTCATATTTTAACGATGATATTTTCTTTGATAAAAGTCTATATTGACATGCTGTTTATAACATAACAGTATTTACTTCGTATTTTATTGAAAATTCGGGTAATCAAGTTTATTATTAACTGCGATTCAGAATCGATCCGTGAACTTCCCATAAATTATTAATTGAGATTACCTTGGCAACCACGGATCTTCTCGTTTTCCAATGAAATTTTAAAATATCCGTAGCTTTTCAGAGATTTATGCCCCTTAATAGATTACCGATGAAAATTGAATTATTATGTAATATAATAAACTTAATTTGCTGCTGTCAAGTACCATGAGGGGCTCGGAAATCTTTTTTCTAATAGATTAATTCGCAGAATTAATAATTAACTAACTGAAATTGATAGGTCGAGTGTAATTATCTCTTGCGTCGAATGAAAGAAAAGTTTAATGGACAACGCATGAATGGATGTAGAATCGTAGACGTAACGACCTATCAGCACTTACAACTGGGGCTGTATCCTGAGTCACCAGACGTCACGGCATAAGTTCATTCATGCGTATATTAACGGACATCTTTTGTCATCTAATATCTTTCTGTACGGTCTGCTATCTCGCCATTTGTTATGTAAAGCAAACAATGCGTTTAACGTCGCTGTTAATGATGTCTGTGGCGGACCTGGTGACCAACCCACTTCTTTCCCTTTTGTCTTCCGAACAAATAGCACTCAAATTAACAATAAAATTGACAAATGATTCAAACGTGTCTAAATGTTTAAATTGTTTCAACCAAATATTGTGTGTCGCAGACATGTTTTATGTTTTTTAAGCTATATGTTAGTATTTTGGTTAGGAACGGCATATAGAATGTATTATTTATATGAAATAATAAATTTGAACGTGAAGTCATTAGTTATAGTAAAGGTTAAATGCCATAGCATTGATATCGTCTAACAGCTAATAATTTCATCAGATGTTTTTTGATAAGGCTTAGGTATTCTGTTTATAAAAGAGTGAATAGCAAAAGCTTTTCGTACTTAAACCTACGCATATAATAACCGAAGATCGCATACTGATAATCCCACATTGTCCAATGGATTGATGTCATATGTGGTATCGGAGGACATTCAACTTGCAGTGGCTTTGCAGAATATTTGGGTGGAATATTATAATGTGATTGATGATCCATGATATTAGTGGCAAGAATTTGTGCCTCTGGCATTTAATCTGAATGATTTGAGAGTATTCATCTATCATCATAAGAAACGCATTATAATAATCTATTGTTTGGGAGTTCTCTTAAAATAATTGTATCAAAATGCGTTTAAAATTGAACGCTTGTCACTGACATAGACAGATGTTCAGTTTGCGTCACATGCATATTTTAATATACTAAAAAATTAACTGAAAGTGACCTACGTGTCTGAGATCGTAATAGCTTGCAATTTTGAACATATGGCAGCTGAAAAAGACACTTGACTGATTCATTGATCTGAAAATTATTTTACTTCCAATTAATTATAGGTTTATTTAATTTAATAGGGCTATCCTATTTAAAAAGTTCGATTCCAACGTTAGCCGACTTTATTTATTTGCAATATTGCCAAACTTTATTAGCTTCGCATTAATCTGGTAACTTTAGTGGTCTCTAAAACAAACTTTAACGTAAAAATAGAGTACCTAGAGTAAGTTTAGTATACCTACGCGTACTATCGCTACGAAACGAGAAAGCGAAGGTAATACAGGTCTTAGCATTTTCAATGCATATAAAGTCACCTAACGTACTACGAGTTACCCTGAAAAAGACTTCTCTTACATTTACCGCCACGTCAAAGGATTAAAATAGCTTCATTGAAGGGACACGACTTGATTGCGGCAAGGGCAATATACATATTTGAATATAAAACGTTCTGGAAGGGTCACGAAATACTTAGTATGAAATGACAAGACCCTTTGTAACTTCTTTTACGATTGAATATATTTGTAACAATCTCATGTTCAATATTGAATATACATAACTTGGTACATAATTTTTGTGCTATATATCTATCTATATTAGCTTTTGGGGTTCATCTTCGAACATAGGCCTCCTCTTCAACCTTCCACGGACTTCCTGTCTCTGGCCACTTGCAACCATATAAGACTATAAAATTCTGCTGAAAAGTTACTTAGTATATTACAACTTAAATTAGATGTTACAGAGTTTTGCTTGGCGTCGAAAATGTCTGAGCATGGAATGAATAGGACATCTTTAAGTATTATGCTGTCCGTTAGTAACTGCTCTGATTGAGGCTTAGTTGTGAAAAGTAAGTATTTGGAGTTTCCAAATTTTTGCAAAAAACATTTCTGTGATAGGCATCATGACGGTTATTCGGTTGCTTTAGGACGTTGTTTATTGTTTCGCTAAAGCATTGATTAACTACCCCGGTTTATGATCAAGCCGTTAAAGTTTATTTCCTTCGCGAAAATAAAAAAGGTAATTTCAACATTGTGATGGAGATTAGAGGCTTTGACCCAGACATTATTATGAAGTGGCAGACAGAAAGGAGTTTTCACCCCCGGCGTCGGAAAAAAGGGGTGTTAAAGTATGACGCTTATTCTGTTTGCGGAACTACATATAAGGGTGAGGATTTTTATTCAAAGTTACTTAAATTGGTTTAGGCTATGAAATCAAACAGCTTTTTAAAGTCGGTTATTAGTCAGACGGTAAGTAAAATTAAAACATTCTTGCTCCGTCTATTTGTAATCTAGAGTCGTATACAACATAACAAAAATACAATGAAACGGACGTTTAGTTATTTAATATTTTACTGTGTCACAGTAAAAGCTTTCCCATTTTCCTGACCATCCATCAAAAATCGGACACCTGGCTTAAACTATTTTTCGCTTGTCGTTTTCATAAAGTCAGACATTTTGCATTCCGACTCACGCTTGACTGGTACCTTGACGGTAAACTCGCGACTTTGTGTGGCAAATTGGTAAATCCTTTTTTGATGATATTTTACGTAGGCTCTGGTGACTCAAAATGGCCTTCTTGGTTTTGATTTTTATTTTATACAGTCGTCGTGGGCAGAGTATTGTTTGTACCTATTTAAGTGGACAATGATGACTCTATAAAGTGATATTGAACTTAAACTTATTACATTTTTTTTTGCTAAATGACCTCTAATTCAGTAGCGGCGTAAGGGGGGGGCGGTGGGGGCGGTCCGCCCCGGGTGCCAAGCATCAGGGGGTGACACAAGTCGCGCAGATTAGTACTCACTGGCGCATCTGCATGGCAAATCTGCGGTCTATGTCATGATACGGGGGGGTGCTATTGTCTTTCAATCTTCGAATCGGTTGGTAACCCCAAAATCCTGGGGGGTACCAGGGGGTGCCGGTGTGATCGCCCCGGGTGCCAACCCATGCTACGCCGCCACTGCTCTAATTACAGCTACATAAGATGCCTCAGTATTTACCTTAATGTACTCTTCTCTTTACGTATTGTAGTTAAGTACGTAATTTTGACTTACGGGACTTTTATTATCATGGCAGAATTTTAAAGTATAAAATAAAGTTTAATATGTGAAAGACAAATAACATTTCAGAATAAAGCTAAAATTAAACACCTACATATTCTTAATTTTCCATACCTTTGTTGTTCATGAAGTGGAATACTTCATGGAATTAATTAGTTGTAGCGTTTAATTTAACATAATGAAAATTAAATGTAGAAACTTTAATATTATACTAAGGCAAATGAAAAGCTTTTAAAATTATAATTTAGATGAGACATTTTATCATTGACACTTACTTTAAAGTGTTTTTTTCAATCCTGAAATTCAGCCGCTAAGAAATATTAATAAAGCTGAAAAGTAGAGTTAACCATAGTTTTAAACGGGTAATCAGGAATGTACGGCATCCCTTTTAGTTCCTTAACAGGATAAAGAAGGTACGCTTACATTAAATTAATAATTATTTTTATTAAATGTTAATTGATGTTAAAGGAAAATTATTTATCCTTACAATAATTAAGCCTAAAGTATTAATTAAGTCTGTCGCCATAACAACAATGTTAACAGCATTGTTGTGTTCCGGCAGTTAGAGGTAAGATAGCCAGTTCCTCCGTGGTTGAGGATTCCGGGTTAAGCTCGCTTCCACCTTCGGCCTGATCGTCACTTACCATCAGGTGAGATACAGGCCAAGAGCTTCCTCGTTGTGGATAAAAAAAAAATATATAGGTTGTCCGAAATTACTCGAATAGATTCCTTAAAAACCATAAAGATTTAATTTTGTATGAAAATTATTTACTAAAATAGTATTTTAATATACTTAATACTATTAAAATCAGCACAACTAAAAGACTTCAATAATTGATATAAGGAGCTTTTTTTCTATAGCAATAAAATATTTTGATGTCTTTATTCTTAAAACTTAAACTTACCAAAAAATAAATAAGTGTTCCCTTTCCCATGACGGGAGTGAGCCCTCCCGGGCGCGTCCCTCTCGCGGCAGGCGCCAGTCCCGCGTCCACTACACCGATCCCCTACTAACGCCGCAAATTCGCTAACATCACCCGCTCTCCGCGGCCGGCTTTCAAACTAAAATGTGCAAACTCGAAGATGCGCCTCTTATACCTCTTACGTTAACTCCGATACCGCAACGTATTTGGCATATAAAGCCTGCGCGTGTGTGCGTGCCTTTCGGCTGTGTGACACATGTGATAATCGCTCCCTACATGCGCCCGCGACGCCTGCCGTATTTTAGATCCTAACACAATTATCGCCATTAATAATTACCCACCGATTTTCACCACGAATTTTACATTTTACACTCCATCAGGCTAATTGCCTTAAAAGCTTCTGTTAAATGTATGTATCCGAAAACTTTTGAGTTCAACCGCCTGCTTATTATTCACGACGCGTAATCTTTGTGTGATATGGTTATTTATATTGGGAATTATGATGTTTTTGTAACTACTTTAATGGTTAGGCACCATGTCGCAGACTTATCAGACATTCTTTTGGTGTGCTCTAAGCATGGAGGTATTTTAAAGGCACGTTCGAAGGTCACGGGTATGGGAGCCACCAATTTTCCACCACGGAGCCGGAACTTGGGCATATGAGGAGTCCTTTTGGTGATGACACCATCATATTTTACTTTATGTTTCAGTACAACTCAATAAATCTCAATAAAAAGTTATAATTTTAAGTTAATAAGTAAACAGTAAATATTCATTGGCTTTCCCCATAAATCTAACTGTAGGTATCGTTCATTCTATGTGTTTTTTTTATTCTAGAAATAAAGTAAGAAATAAATGGAATAAACAAAGGAATAAATTTAATCCTGTTATAATAACGGTACATTCAAAAGTATCAGATGGAAAATTTTAAGAGATAACTTAATTATAATAAATAGGTATATTGAACCTAGATTAAACGGAAATAGGAGTTGATTCGCCTTTGGCGTGGACAAATAAATAACTGGCTAGACACGGCGCAAGGTGATATCATCAAATCGTGCGAAATTTACCAATTGAAAAAAAAAATGAGCGAAGTATTTAGGACTAGAGCCCTAAGGCGCGGCGAAAGATTTCAGCGCATCCAATACCTAAGAGAAAGCTTTGATTTCAGGGAGAATCCCTGCTTTAAGTATCTCCTGTAATAAGATTTTCCTTTTAAAAAGTACGCTATAAACTGAAGTCAATGATTATTTCAGGATTAATAAAACATCTTTGTACTTTTAATAATTCAATTTGTAAGAAAAACGTATGTGGCAGACGTTATTATTAGATTCTACGTAGGTAACTGAACAGTTTTTAGAACCCTTATAAAAGTTTTTTTTTTTTATTAAATCCAGACGCAATATCTCTCAATCGCAGAATTAAACCCACTCTACATTTTAACCATACGTTTGCCAGTCGGTGGGCGTTCCAATATATTTTTAGTGCATTAAAAAACGAATCCATTCGAAATCATGAAATAAAACATTAAACGTTTACTTAATTTGTAATGCTAATGTATTTTCTTTAACTAATACCTGTGTTATTAACTTTATGAACATTAATCTATTTTTTAAAACACTAGCAACCTCCCGGGACTGGATAAGTAACAATATTTATAGTTGTATGACTAAAGAAAATTCGTTTTAAAAGTAAGATTTGTACCAACTTTCAATATCCTACTCCCGACAGTTTTTACTGTACGCTGATTTGTCTGTCTTATTTATTTATTTATAATAATTTTGGTTGATGTTTCTAAATAAGTCTAGTAATTGCTAATTACTGTAGCAGTGGGAGTTCTTTCTTGAATAAGTACAACTTGATGAATTTATCAATTTCGTATATTGCACGTTAAACAATTATTACACTTCACGTCTTTTACAGCTTTTCCTACAATCTTCTTACGAGTATAACAACTCGACCGTCTTCCGTCTTTACACATCTCACAACCGCTCGTCTTTTAAACTGCTATCCTCACCGTCAATCCTCATTCATCCCATCCTTTTCCTCCATAGACCAATCATTCCAGATTCCGCCGTTCAAATTTTTCATACGTCATCCTACTATTCCGTTACACACAAAATTCATTAATTCCACATTACGTTACAGATAAATCATAATATTAGGTCCTATATCATTTGAAATGTCGTCGAAAGATTTACTTATAACTCATGGGGTATGAAAGCCTCAATACGTGTATTATTTGATTTCATATTCAGGCTTATTTTACGTGTGGTTTTGATTGACTGATTCGAAATAAATTAATCCACAGCCATTTTTCTAAGAATATTAGGGTTCGTCTCGAATCTATTTATAAGCCCATCGTGAAAGCCTTGTTCGTGGAAAACAATTCTTAGAATTTCAAATAAAAGATGTAACATATTTTTTCATAAATAATTTATAGATTTCCTAATTTAGCAATTTTTTCTTTATGATATAAATTATATTCCTATCCATACAAGTTGTCGTAGTTCTGAGAAATTTCCCGGTCTGTAAACAATAGGTTGTTGTTACTTCGCTGGTTGTAGGGAATCCTTCAAATAATTTCCAGAATATCCAGGAATCTGTTCCAATTCTCTGGAGCAGAATTGTTTGTTAAATAAAAACGAGATTCAAAACCAATCACAGCAGGGTGTTTGCGATGTAACGTTAGAGCCACGATTTTTCCTGTAAAAATTTGAAGTAAAATTTAGTTTTTCCTTTTAAAAAAGGCAAGTTATATGAGTATATAAAGAAAATTTTAAAGATCTGGAAGCCTGCAAAGGGCATGTCTATAGAAATTACCTATTTTGTAACGAGATCGAAATTACTTAAAGGAAAATGTTATAAATCTTTATATAATCGAAATCCTCTCAAGGTCTAGTTTTCTCACACCTAGCACGGATTTCCCTAAATTGACTTTTTGATCTGTAAGAAAGGATGAAGGTTTGGGATAAAAAAATATGTCTCCAGAGAAAGCCTTTTCAGTCGAGCTTTCAAAGCATTGAGATTAAATGGCTTTGAAACGACAAGCCAAAGAATTCCATTATTTGGCATGATAAATGATAGCGCGAACCGCTTAGAAAAATGCCAACTACCTACAGCCAGATACACCATCTAGAATCTGGAAGTACTTAAGTGTGATGAGGTTATATTCTGTGATGGCAAAATGCGTTTGCTTTAGTAATTTTTACTGTAGAGGTCTTTCAGTAAAAAAATAGCTCATCTATACTCTTATAATAAATCTGTAGAGAGGTCAATTCTGTACATGAAATACATTTTCAAAATAAATATCAGGGGGTGATTAGTGATCGATACTGATGCCAAAAATGCAATCAGTAAAATTTTTGTCTGTCTGTCTGTCTGTCCGTCTGTATGTTCCTTATAGAAACAAAAACTCTTGGGCAGGTTAAACAGGCTCCATACTCTTGGGCAGGTTATAGTATACTTAGGAATTCCCACGGGAACAGGAATTAGCGGGAAAATCCTTTTGTATGGAAAATCTAGACCGCTTAAGTTAGACGCTTGAAATTTAGATTTTTTTTTTATAAGGCCCGACAGGCGCCACCGGATGGAGCCCACCTGATCGTGGGAGGCACCTGCATACCCGTAGGACGTTCAATGCGGTACCTTGGCCTGACACTAGACAGCCGCTGGGGATTTCAGGCACATTTCAAGAGCCTTGTACCGAAATTGGTGACCACCGCAGGAGTGCTTAGTCNGACGCTTGAAATTTGGCATGTAAGTACCTTAGTAAACTTAAAGCTTAGTTACAACAAGTAATTCCCGAAATTCCCACGGGAACGGGAATTAGCGGGAAAATCCTTTTGTATGAAAAATCTAAACCGCTTAAGTTAGACGCTTGAAATTTGGTATGTAGGCACCTTAGTAAACTAAAAGCTTAGTTACAACAGAATATTGCAAAATTCCCACGGGAACGGGAGTTAACGGGAAAAAACATTTGTATGAAAAAATCTAAACCGCGTAAGATAGATGAAGGGGTTAAAACGGGATCCACACGTACGAAGTCGCGGGCGGCCGCTAGTTTATTATAAATGCTCAATGTTAGCTGAAGCTTGAAACCTAGCGTAGCTTAGTGAATTAATCAATTATAAATTAACTGAATAGATTATACGTAGATATAATACAAAACTTTATTAAACACTAGCTTTTGCCCGCGGCTTGAAATTTAGTTTGTCACAGATCGTCATAAATTATAGCCTATATTGTGAAAGAGAAACAAACATGTTGACATCCACAAAAACTTTCGCATTTGTAATATTAGTAGGAAGTGGGAATGGATGTAGGTACGTTCATGTAGCTACCTACATCTATAAATTTGACGGAATATCTAAGATGTAACACCTTAAAGAAAGAATGAATCAGATTTGCACGTTGAATCACTTCACCTATCTATCACTTCTGTGTGCTTACCATGAGTTTACGTTAGGTGTGCTCGCTAGCGACTGCGTAAAAAAATGACATTACTTGTATGACATATTGTTCAGCGCCCCTAGCGCCTACTTTCAAGAAACAAAATCTTCATAGAGATTTTTGACGTACTCGCTAGCGAGCACACTTAGTCTTATCGTAAACTCATGGTAGGTACACTGGTCTGTTCTTGACTGTCGCATGTTTTTCTTAGTCCTAGATATACTATCGCAAGTCCCTCGGGAAATGTGTATATTTCCGGGATGTGGATCTAAAGCCAGAGAAATTGTGAAGCTTTCATACAGATTGACTTGCTATCTGTAGATCGTTCGTTGCCCTAAAGTAGTAAACGAGTTTACTTTTACTGTACTTATTTTAAGGCTTTTGAGTATAAAGTGTACTTACCAATAAGTACATAATTTAAAAGCTGTAAAGCGACCATCGTAAGTTTTATATTTATTAAAAAGATACTATCATGTTAATCACAACAAAGGGCGTAATTTGTATCGTCCCCACGCTCAAAGGTAAGTGTTGTTGTTCATAAGTGTTACTTCAATTACCAAAACAAATTAAATCGGGTAAAAGTGGACTTAAGAGTTGTTATGAATCCCTCTTACAAAAGCCGATTATGGGCTCGAGGAAAAGGGAATAAATGAGATAAATGTTGTAGCTATACAGAGTTTGGGAAACTACCACGAAAAT